CAATACTGAACAGGCTGTTATAGAGTGGGACATTAAACAATGGGTCAATAGCAAGTCGTTAATAAGTATCTTTAAGAGCAATAAGTTATTAATAGACAGTAGAGAGAGATACATTAAAGAATAGATTATTGAACAGGTCATTAGCGAGTGGGACATTAATAGGCCAATACTGAACAGGCTGTTATAGAGTGGGACATTAAACAATGGGTCAATAGCAAGTCGTTAATAAGTATCTTCAATAGCAATAAGTTATTAATAGACAGTAGAGAGAGACACATTAAAGAATAGGTTATTGAACAGGTCATTAGCGAGTGGGACATTAATAGGCCAATACTGAACAGGCTGTTATAGAGTGGGACATTAAACAATGGGTCAATAGCAAGTCGTTAATAAGTATCTTCAATAGCAATAAGTTATTAATAGACAGTAGAGAGAGACACATTAAAGAATAGGTTATTGAACAGGTCATTAGCGAGTGGGACATTAACAGGTCAATACTGAACAGGCTGTTATAGAGTGGGACATTAAACAATGGATCAATAGTAAGTCGTTAATAAGTATCTTCAATAGCAATAAGTTATTAATAGACAGTAAAGAGAGGTACATTAAAGAACAGGTTATTGAATAGGCCATTAACGAGTGGGACGTTAACAGGCCAATACTGAACAGGCCGTTACAGAGCGTGAAATTAAAAAATGGGCTAATAGCAAGTGGTTAATAAATATCTTCAATAGCAATAAGTTATTAATAGACAGTAAAAAGCGCTGTATTAAAGAACAGATTATTGAGCAGGCCATTAGCGAGTGGGATATTAATAAGCTAATACTAAACAGGTCGATAACGAACCATTAACGAATGAGTTACTGAACAGGCCATTATTGAACATTAGTGAATAAACCAATAGTAAACAGACCGATAACGAACCGTTAACGAATGAGTTATTAATTGAAACCACGAATAAACGGGCAATTAGAGAGCGGGTTGTTCACGAGCAGATAAACATTTTATTGGTTCTACTATATATATACGGAACATTTGGAAAACGCATAGCATCAGCAAAAATTTGCAAATTCTCCGAAAGTTGGCACGGATCAAAGGAAGCAGCGTTCGTTTCGAGAAGTTTCAATTCTACGAGGGATACAAAAGAGAGGTTCCTTCTTCTCTCTTTTTGTATTGAATATGCCAGTGTACCGGGACTCCGGGAAAATAAACGAGAACGAATCAAAATCCCGGAGGTAGGAACGTGCAATCTCGTAATTAGATTCCACGAATTAACGACTTAATTAAGCCAGAGATTCTTCTCGGGAATTATATTGTATGTGAGGTAAACAAAAGTTTTTGGTAAGAATCTGATCTTACATTGAACAAAATGACCCTTGTAGTCAAAGATGAAAAACATGTCTATACAGAAATATTACTAATATGTGGGACATTTTTAAATTGAAACTAATTGTAGTAAAATTATAATTAAATACGATGAAGAAGTGGGTGAACTTTACGGTTGTTCTACATTTATGTATTCGTACAAAAATTAAAATAAACCTTTGCGTACTTAAAAATACTTAAACATGCTTATTTACATTTTACAAATTTAACAAATTAAAATTTTAAATAAGTAAAAATGTCGACTGTCTTGAAACAGAAAATGTACCTAATATAACCAGAATAGCCTAATAAAAAATAATAAGAAAATTAGGAAAAAACCTAATTTTTAAAAACCTGAAATTTATCTTTTACAAGTTTAACAAATTTAAATTTTAAATACATAAAAATGTCAACTGTCTTAAAATAAAAAATGTACCTAATATAACCAGAATAGTCCAATAAAAAATAATAAGAAAATTAGGAAAAAACCTAATTCTCAAAAACCTGAAATTTATCTTTTACAAGTTTAACAAATTTAAATTTTAAATACATAAAAATGTCAACTGTCTTAAAATTAAAAATGTACCTAATATAACCAGAATAGCCTAATAAAAAATAATAAGAAAATTAGGAAAAAACCTAATTTTTAAAAACCTGAAATTTATCTTTTACAAGTTTAACAAATTTAAATTTTAAATACATAAAAATGTCAACTGTCTTAAAATAAAAAATGTACCTAATATAACCAGAATAGTCCAATAAAAAATAATAAGAAAATTAGGAAAAAACCTAATTCTCAAAAACCTAAAATTTACCTTTTACAAATTTGACAAATTAAAATTTTAAACAAGTAAAAATGTCAACTATCATAAAATTAAAAATGTACCTAATATAACCAGAATAGGCTAATAAAAAATAATAATAAAATTAGGAGAAACACAGAGATTGCAGAGGTAATCCAAAACGGCTGATAAAACATATACACACGTATCCGGCAAGCCAGTCATCGCGTAAAACATTCATTTCCGGGCAAGGGAAGTTTTTCCGGCAACACACGGAAGATAGGGGATGCATAAGCCAAGAAGAAACGTGAATTTTTTAACCGGAAGCGCAGTGCGGTTTGCAGGCACCGGCAAGTGCGAGTCGACTACGTGACGACCGGAAGCTCTCCTTCGATATTAAGGTTTAATATTTGACGAAGAACATCGCTTACGAGATCCCTTTTTATCGACGACTACTTCCGTTCAAACCCTACT